AACTGGCTCTGCCTGCCACTGCCCCCAAACTCTCAAGACACCATTCACACCTCTGCATGGTAATAAATCTGGTCCCAGAGCCTGGTTACTAGGCCAATAATTCAGCAAGTTTTGAGCCTCTTCAATCCCAACCTTGACATCTGTTTTGTAAGACTATTACGTTATGGCTGAGGAAGAAGGCAGGGACATTTAGGAACTGCTAACTGCTCCAGTCCAGTAGATGGCCTGTGTCTCTGCAATCAGTTTGGACAGATATTTTTTGGATATAACCCTAAAAATGTCTGCAAGTTCACCGCAGGCAAAAGTGGGATAACTTCTGTAACTTGAGAAGTATTACTCTGGATTTATACAAGATGAAGGTAACCAAAAAACTTTAGGCTACAAAGTCTAAAAAAGTGAGGCAAGAGAAAGACATACCCAGTTTTACTCGGAGCAGTTTTGGATGTGTGTTTTCTAAGCAATGAGCAGCAGTAACCACCCAGCTTGGCGCAAGCAGTGAACCTCCACACTTTTGTTTCTCATTCTCTATTAGCAGAACCTGAAACATGCACAAGAAACTTTTATGTTACACCAAGTCATTTGCTGTGAAATTCTATAGACTTTACAGAAAAAAATTCATTGTAATTGGCCTGCAAGGACCATGTCTACTCATCATTTTCCTAACTGATGATTGGTAAAGTTACCATCAACTCTTTGAGGCAGGGACTATGCTACTTAACCCACAGGGCCTAGGTTTTTAGACCAATCATTTTAGTAACTCAGATTTATAAGTAATTCAGGAGATTATGGGAACTAGGCATCCAACTTCCATTGAAACCCAGTAGAGTTGAACACTTAACTCTCTTTGGACCCTTTGAAAATCCCAGCCTTTGATGTAAATACATTGATAAGTAGGCTGTAAATGCTCATGCTGAGTAGCACCTTCATCTGCAAGCAGAAGTAACACTTTAATGTACTACTCAGGGAGAGTAAAAGTAAGACAGCAAGAGTGAAACCATCAGCATCTGAGAGCTTGGCAATGATTGTATGGCTTGTGCTTTTTGAAATTTAAAGTTTACACAGCAATGTATTTGGATCTAAATTACTAACATTACAAGTCGGAAATAAAGGGTTTTATTTTCCTGTTTGCTCAAAAAGAAACTTTGAATTTGGCCCCAAAGCAGACAACTGTTCAGTTGGCTTCCCTGCATACAGAGTTTAGGGAGCATTTTGCATCGCTAATCTCCCTCTCTTTAGTTTCTCTTTCCCCCTAGCAACGTCGATAATTCATCAAGTCATGAGTCACTTCATTCCTAACCTTGAAATCGGTTATGTGAGACTGTTACACTATGGCTGAGGAACAATGCAAAGATATTTAGTAATCACTAATTGCTCCTGTCATAAGCAAGCAGATGGTCATTGTATTGTCAATCCATTGACTGATATTTGTTGTATTTAACGTTTAAAAAGGTTTGCGGAGTCACCCCACGTAAATGTGGAATAGCTCCAGTAACTTGAGAGGCATTATGTTGGATTTACACAAGCGAATGTGACAATAAAACCAAACAAAAGTCTTCCCTTGAACAGTTTTGCTAGAATATATTATTGTTTTTGCCTGTTTTGCCCAAGAGTTCACAATCCCACTAACTACAGCTGACCCCCTTGTGGGCAACCTCAGCAATAAGGCAAACGACTGAATGGGCAGAGCATGGAGACAGCTGAATTACCATTTCGTGCCTGGCAACACAGTCACTCCAGCGGAGGGACAAGGCACGATATCAGGGATGCGGTGACCATAGGGAGCTTGCATTGCTTTTAGCTGTTCAGTGCCTGAATGGAGGGCTTGGTTACTCAGTAGTAACAAGTACTCAGTAGACGACAAAATATGAAACAGAAAACTCACCTGCCATGGACATTCACCTGGGGGACAGACATAACCACCTACAATTCTCCCCCGCTGAGTTGCACTTTGCTTTGCTAAAACAGGGATTCGCCCACATGGGTAATCCACTGTGAAAAATAAACAATAAATCATAGTAAGAAGAGTGATTAAATACAATGAATCCACTGGAAAACACACAGGTCCAAATTCTCTGCTAGGGCAACTCCAAAAAAGATTCCTTCCATGAAGTCATATCAGCAGAGAATTGGCCAGTAATCTAGTGGTGTGCCTAATTACAGAATATTTTTAATTGCCAAGTGGGTAAATGTATTTTTTTTCTGTAGACACTGCTCACATGTGGTGTTACCTTACAATATAGACCATTTGATAAGAAGTTGCACTTGGGTATCACTGGAGGCTCTGAGAAAAGCATTGATGCTGTGTGTTTAGTGCCTCTAATTCCTTCTGGGTTTTCATGATCATCATTTTAAGCAGGCAGGACAAAGGGTTGTCTTTGAATCGTCTATGACACCAAGGTCTGTTACTCTAAACTTCCTGTTCCCCCAGTACTGCTAACCTCCAGGTCTGAGGAACACACAGAGGGCGCAAGGTCCCATGTCCTCTCTGACAAGTGGCATCTAAAATCTGCAGGATTCTGCAGCAAAATTCTAGCCTCTGAAGCAGCAGATAGGAAATTCTGTAATTTATCTGGGTAAATGAGGTTGTTAGTGATTTGAAGAGGAATAAAAATAACACTCTTATTTGGACATTAAACTCAATATAATTTGTGCTGCTCCTAAAACAGGGGCGGAAAACCTAAGGCCCGGGGGCTGGATGCAGCCCCCAGCTCCCCTGGATCCGGCTCCTGAGTCTTGGGGCTCCCCCCAGCATTGGGGAGCCCATGTTGGCGAGGGGTGGAATTTTTTTTGCTTCTCACTTGTGTGCAGCCCCCGACTGATTTTTCTGTAGGTAAGTGGCCCTGACCCAAAAAAGGTTCCCCACCCCTGCCCTAAATGATCAATGTTGTCACCGTCTCTGGGTCAGCTGACCCTGGTGAGACCTTTTTCTAGTCCCCTTAATGTGCCCCTTTCCACAGGCAGATCCAGGTTTTGCAGCTCAGGTGGGGTGTATGTGATGGACATTGGTGGTGCCACCATCAGTTATACCCCATGGGTTGTTAATGTCACACGTTAGCATGCCTGCTGCTCTCGCTGCCCCTGCACTGAAACCCTAAACTTGGCTTGGAGCAAAAGGGAGGCCAGAAGGGAGCGTGGGGGGAGGGAGCAGGAGAGCAAGCCTGCTGTGCACCTACCCTGCAGTGATGGCTCCTAACCACAGGGCTGGGTTCAGCTCCTCCGTATGGGAGTTGCAGCCTGGCGTACAGGGTCGAAGCGCCATTCAGGTTTAGCCCCTACCCCCCCTTCTGTCATGATGATGGGGCGGCCGGGATAAATGTGAATGAGCAGCGGTGTGACATGTTGCATGGGGTCACACCATGTGACTCTTTGTGCCACACTGTAGTGCCCAGAGCAGGGAGCTGGGCTCAACGTGGCAGCATAGGAGCTGCCGCCAATGGGTGAGGGTGTGATGAGCCTGTTCTCCAGCCCCTTATGAAAAGTGGGGTCAGACACTTCTTTTCGTCAGCTGTGTAATAAGCTTGAAAAGGTGCCTTCTCACACCTTAAGGCAGCCAGTTGTTCCCCTGTCCCTCTGCTAATAGCTCCATCAAGGTCCCCTTTTTCATAACAGGCCTGTACCCACTCTTCTCTTTGGGGTGGGACACCACAATCCAGTCACTCCCTGACAGGGTTTCCAGGTGGCACCCCTCTGCCACTCCAGACACCTCACACATCCGTTAGGCACTTGTAAGTAGGGACCCAAAAGCAGTTTCCCAATGGAAGTGTTTTATTTTGCCCCATCAGTGCATAGTATTCAGAGAAGTGAATTTACAACTAGTCCTACACCTCAACTGCCTCACCTCCACTCGGTCTTCCCCTCCAGCCCATAATTAGGCATGAACCAGCCATGGTGCTCTCCATTATATTGGAGGCCGTGTTGCAGCATGGCCGTACAGATCTCAATCTCAGGCTGCCTGTGTCTTGCTGCAGCAGCTGACAACCATTTCTACCAACCCTTTCTGTAGGGTGGATCTCTTAACATATGAGTGTCTTTTGATCTCCATATTCTCAGCTTTTGCAAAACATCTTTGAAGCCAGGTTAGGCTGGAGGTGGTGTCTTTTTGTGACCATAAACTGCCTATTGTATATGAAAACTCATATTGAAATAAATAAAGGTATGAAGCATCTATTCATTGAACACAAATTGACAGCTCCCAGAGAAGCACCATAAAAAGATGTTACCCATAGAATCATAGACGATTAGAGTTGGAAGAGACCTTAGGAGGACATCAAATCCAACCTTCTGCCCAAAGCAGGACCAACCCCAACTAAGTTATCCCAGCCAGGGCTTTGTGAAGCTGGGACTTAAAAACCTTCATGGATGGAGATTCCACCACCTCCCTAGGTAACCCATTCCAGTGCTTCACCACCCTCCAAGGAAAATATGTTACTATAAGAACATAAAAACATAAAAAGGCCATGTTGGGTCGGATCAAAGGTCCATCCAGCCCAGTACCCTGTCTGCCGACAGTGTCCAATGCCAGGTGTCCCAGAGGGAGTGAACTGAACAGATAATGATCAAGCGATCTCTCTCCTGCCATCCATCTCCACCATCTGACAAACAGAAGCCAGGGACACCATTCCTTACCCATACTGGCTAACAGCCATTTATGGACTTAACCTCCATGAATTTATCTAGTTCTCTTTTAAACCCTGTTATAGTCCTAGCCTTCACAACCTCCTCAGGCAAGGAATTCCACAGATTGACTATGCGCTGTGTGAAGAGCTTCCTTTTATTTGTTTTAAACCTGCTGCCTATTAGTTTCATTACGGTAATAACTCGGTTTTTAGAACCTTACCTTGGGGAGTACAGGACACTTCATCACTTGCTAACATGTAACCCTCTGCACAAAAGCACTGTCGTATTGTGGTTGGACTGTCTCTGCAATAATGTTCACAGTGCCCATTTTCATTAATGCACTTCAGTGTGTCATTCAGACCTAAATGCAGGAAAAGACCACATCAGTTCCAGAATGTGGTGTCTTGTGTTTAACTCGAGTCAATTATTCTCGGAAATTTTGACCACATTTTGACCTGTGACTCAGTAATGTTGATATATTGATAAAGAAAGCTGCTCCTGGGGGGCAAATGCAAGCACACATTAATGGCAGAGCTGGGAACTAAACACTCCAGCACAAATTAAAGAGTTCAAAAAATGCACCAAAACACACACAGTGATTGCTATTCAAAATAATGACCATTTGTCTCCAGTTACCACAAAATGGTATTTGAGATATAGCAATCTTTACAAGAATTGGAATAGACCATCCTTGCGGTAACCAGATGGAGACTGTTAGCAATATGTTTGTTTAACAACTGTAATCATTGTATTCCTTTCACCTGCAGTAATTCACTGGAAAGGCCAGAGGATAATTCACTGCAGCAGAAGACCTGTCTTCTGGAGAAAAAGCACGTCTGAATGTTCATTAACTCAAGCTATCTGAATAGCCGAGCATGTATGGGTGCTTTATCATCATCATTATTACGTATCCAATACTATGAACTCAACCTGACCTGAAAACATGAACTGCAACATGTGGGACAAAACACAAGAGACAGAATAAGCGTGTGGGATGGTGTGGACACTCCAGATAGGAAACACTACTGAAGAGGTGGGTTTTCACAAGATTTTTAAAGGAGGTGGTGAAGGGATTTGAAAATATTGACTAAGAGGCTGGTCTAGTGTGGGACAGCATGAGAAGGTGGCAAAAAGATAGGTCTGTGCAAAGAAGACAGAGCTAGTCATCAGCAAAGAAGCATCAGTAGAGTACAGGAAATGGGAAGGGGTATAGGAAGTGAGGGAATATAAGCTGTGAAATCACAGAAGCCTTGTTACAGTACTGGTTGAACATCTCTAGTCTGGCACTCTCTGGTCCGGCAATATCTGTGGCCCGGCATGATTTGAGTTAGCTGGATGTCCACTTATCATGGGTGAGGCAAAGTTTCCTATGGTCCCATAAAGTTTGTTTACAACCACCAGTCCTGGCTCTCAGTGTTCAGTGCTGTTACTTAGCTCTAATTTACCTGTACATTTCTTCTAGGAGCCCAATAAGCAGTGGAAGTGTTGGTAATGCTGCTAGACAGCATTGACTTCCCATGGTCCAGCACAGGTCAGATCCTGAGGGTGCCGGACTAGAGAGGTTCAACCTGTTGTTAGAGCCACTAGTTAGATAACAATGTTAGACCAGATAAGCTTCTGATCCTCCTTTGGGCCTACACTATGCTTATGTACCGAGTATATTGAGTTAGAACCAATGCTGCTTGTCATCAGTGGAAAGACTCCCACAGATATCGCTGGACATTGGATTTGTCCCATTGTGCTTTTAATGAAGGTATAGGTAAGGACTGTTCTTTTCTGCATGTGTTTATATACAGACATGGCCACCCCTTCTACAATATTATGATAAATCTAGGGCAAAGTGTGTCTGCTGAAGTACCCTTGCAAAAGTCATCATTTGCTGACCATTACTGTCCTGAGGAAATGTATGCATTGTCATTGTATATGAAGTTACAAGAGTCTGCTACTTATTTGTTACTGAAACATGTCAAGCGATTGCGAAATGCCCATCGACTAGCCACTCAGAGAAGGAACAGAAATTACATATATTGAAACCTTGCATGCCAATCATAAGTAGACAAAAAGTGCAAGCAACATTTTGCAATTCATAATGAAGGATGGTCAGCAGCACACATACACCACGAAGACTGCCTAATCCCACGACATAGCATGGGTTTTTCCTGCACCTATAGAAGAGGAACACCATGGGCCTACTCTCTCCTTTCCATCTCAACACCTGGAAGCAAGACTGTTAGAAGACAAAGAGAAATCTCTTTGTACTGGGAGGAAGGGATAGTCTTAACTAGAAAGCCTGAAAGCTGCCTGGAAAGTCCAGCAGGGTGAGAAAAACTGTTTGATTCAAATCTTGTTCAACCTGATAAAATTTAGGATTTAGAATGTATGTTTACTTCTTATTTCTTATGTAGCCAACTCAGATCTTTATGCCTATGCACATATAATCACTGAAAATCTACTTTTGTTGAGTTAATAAACTTATTTTAATGGTTAATCTAAATGAATGAGTTTATCTAAAGTGCTTGGGGGAACTGCTCAGTTCACAGAGCTGGTGCATGTCCCACCACCCTTTGAAAGGAGAGGCAAGCTCATTAGTGAGCTTGCATTGATCTTGAGCAATTCAATATGCACTTTTCTGGGGTGGAAGGCTAGGGTCTCCTTGTGTGCAGTTCATAAGTGGCTTAGAAGAGAATTCATGTAACTTTGCTGGGCGTAGCTCTGCAAACTGATGGCTAAGGGAAAGGAGTCTGGAGGGGTTGGCTTTTCACTATGTAGGAGACAGCGTGGAGAAGAGAGTTAATGAGGGGACGGACAATGGTTATGCAGTGCAGATTGCATGTTGGGGTGTGTCACACTATTGCCATTTCTAAGCCATAGAGTTACTATAATTCAGTGAGAAAAATGCTCTTTTTCCCTCAGGTGAGTGAAAACAGTGAACTCCTTAGAAGATCTACACTATGTAATGATTATGTGGCTATTATTTAGAGTGACTGCAATACCTGTTTCCTAAATGCTGAATAAAACATAGCAGTGTTTTCTGTGAGAATGACGCACAGTAATGTTGACAAGTTTCAGAGGGGGAGCCCTGTTTGCACAGTAATGTTGTTTGCTACCAGTCCTTTTTAAAATCAACAATGTATTCATCAGAGCACCTAACATTTGAATAGGATTTTTTTTAAAGTTTTAATATCTGACCTCTCTCACAGTTTTTGCCCTTATACTCCTCAGGGCAAAGGCAAACATAAGCCTGAAATTCATCGACACACGTCCCACCATTCTGACAGGGGGCAGAGTCACATTGGTTGGCATCTGTAAAAACACAGTGTCAGCAAAGGCTCACAGGAAGGACTGCAGTGGTGTAATTTCAGTAAATTATTAGAACACATGAAATTCTCATACCAACATAAGTGTGCCAGAATTCCATCTGTAAAAAAGAGAGGGAAAAGGGCATAAGGAATTATCCAGACATATGATGTATCATTTCATGAACAAAGGATAAGAGCATGTACAATTCCGAAACAAATAAATTATAGAGTTATTGCACATAGTTGGTTGAAGGGTGAAGAAAATTGTGGCTACTTAGAGAACATGTCTAAAATTGTACACAATATTAATTTGTGTATATTTTAAGACAAAGGTAATACAAGACAAAGGTACTACAGGTTGAACCTCTCTAATCCAGCACACTCTGGTCCAGCAACATCCGTGGTCCGACTTGATTTTAGTCAGCAGGATGTCCACTTATCATGGGTGTGGCTAAGTTTCACACAGTCCCATAAAGTTTGTTTATTTAGGTCTAATTTTCCCCCATATGTCTTCTAAGAGCCCAGTAAGCAGTGGAAGTGTCGGTGATACTTCTAGACAATACTGACCTCCCATGGTTCGGCAAATTCTCTAGTTTGGCACCAATCAGGTCTCGAGGATGCCAGACTAGAGAGGTTCAACCTGTATGTTATATACTTTACAGCTCTCAGGGTTTAAGAGGCAAAATCTATTTATGTTTCTACTAATAAGATAGGAAGAGATAAGATAAAGATCAGGCCAACAGAAAACTCCTTAGCCAGTGCTACTCCTTACTTACTGTTCTTTTAGTGTCTTGAAAGATTTCTCTGGCTTCCTCATAGGAACACAATTCTTCAACGCACTCCCGTTCTAGTGACCCTCTTTTTAACTCCTCAAGGAAGCTATTAGCTCTTCTTTGTCTTTTCAGCAAGCTGTTTGCCTGCTCCTGCTTTAAAAAGACTGAAAAATTGAAATAATTGGCACTCTGCATACACATTTCTCTCCTCAGAAACAAAATACAGTAGGAACTCAGGGTTATGAACTGACCAGTCAACCATATACCTCATTTGGAACCAGATGTATACAATAAAGCAACAGCAGAGATTAAAAAAACTAAAATAAAAATATATCACAGATGCAGTACAGTACTGTGATAAATGTAAGCTAATACAAATAAAGAGAAAAGAGCATTTTATTTTGCATAATAAAGTTTCAAAGCTGTATTAGGTCAATGTTCAGTTATAAACTTTTGAAAGAATAACTGTAATGCTTTGTTCAGAGTTACAAACAACCTCCATTCCCGAGGTGTTTGTACATCCTCTGAGAGTCTACTGTAAGCCACTCAGAGTTCAGGTCCCTTTACTTTTTAAATTCAAGCTGTTTGCAACAATATTTAAAGCAGGTAGAGACACATTATTTACTTATGCTGCTGTACATGAGGTAAAGTGATATATTCCACGTCTTTATGCAGACTAAAATTTTAGAATTATAGCAGTTCTTCACCCAAATAATTCATGAAGAGTTACCATTCATCACATGGGTAGGTTTGAAAAAAAAGTAGGACAGGATTTCCTTTAGTTCTGGCAGTCAGTCAACAACATTTCTGGAAATTAGACAAGCAGCACGTTATTTTGAAATAAGTCATTTCAAAATAAAGTAGAGTCCTGATTATCTGACCTAAATAGGACCGAGGGATGGTCAGATTAACAAAAATGTCGGATAATATGGAAACTGGTATGAAATCAGGTTTATTACTTATTATTCTACAGAACAACTAACATAATAGAGTACAGAACATTTAGTATGCAGTATGGCAGAGTGCTAAAGTTATTGTTTAAAAAAATTAGTGATTGACGTTTGTTTCCCAGCTTTGTTTCTCTTCCTTGCAGCAAGGTCGCACCAGCGTCTCAATAACATAACATCATTAGCAGTTGCCTCCCCTTGTTGTTCAACGTAAGCCAGTGCCACCTTGAGAACCTTGATCCCTTCGTTATGACTAATTCTCTCCATTTTGTCATTGTCATTTGTATCATCTTCATCGTCATTGTCATCCCGATTCACCAGAGCTATTATGTCGTGGCCAGTCATTTCTTGTTGCTCGTCTTTCTCCATCCATTCCTGTATTTCATCATCATCCACCTTCTCGCAGCCTGGAATTTGCTGTAACAAAGGTAATAGGTTATCACAATTTTCTTACACCATTTCTTATATGTTTTTGTCTTCTGAAAGTAACTATCTCCATGATCTTGCCAGAGTTTGTGGTTCAATCTCTTCCCATGATTGTAAGATCCAATAAATAACATCTTTTATGTTCACTGTCCTTCGCTTATATAGCATACCATTTCCATCGTCTATCACCTCAATGAGCGTAGTTAAAAGCTTACGACGATATTTTTTCTTTAATGCTTCAAGCACACCCTGGCTGACACAATGAGGTGATAGTAGGAGGAAGAAAAATCACTCCAATGTCCCCACTGATCAATTCATTCTCATGAGGATGAGATGGCTCATTATCAATGACAAGGATTGCTTTCCTTGGTAGGTTTAGCAAATTCAAAAATTGTTCTACTGAAGGAAGAAATTCATCGAAAAACCAGCCTCAGAAAATTGATTAATCCATCTATGCATTCCTCTGATTTTTGTACGAAACTGGTAGAGCAGTAGGTGCTATGTTTTTGAAAGCTCGTGGTTTTTTTTGCCTTTCCAATAAATGTGAGTCTTAGTTTGTGGTTACCAGTAGCGTTACTACAGGCTAGAATTGTCACTCTTTCTTTACTTCGTTTATACCCAGGAGCTGAAACTTCAGCCTGGGAAGCTAGAGTTTTTGAAGGCAGCATTTTATAGTTTAAGCCGGTCTCATCACAGTTATATATCTGCTCACCTGATAATCCTTCATTGTCGATGAGATAATGAAAATTTGCTTTAAATTTCAGAAACCCTTCCTGATTTGCCGATAATTTTTTGCCACATATACTGAGCTGCCTTAACCCATATCTTTTTTTCCAGATATCAAGCCAGCCTACACTAGCCGTGAAATCAGGTTCCCCTTCATTAAATTCCTTTTGGAAACTCAGAGTTTTCTCTTGCAGAATCGGGCCTGTGATAGGCATGCCCTTATCACTTTTCTGTGTGAACCATAAGAACAAAGCTTCACTCACTTTTTCATATTCACATTTTTTTTTCGTTTTTCTGTCCTTCAGTCCTGCACTTGAGGGTCGATCAAAGCACCACTTTTCTAACTCACTTATTTTCCTCTTCCAGTCACCAACTGTAACTCATCCCACACTGAGTTCAGATGCAATTTTTAGCATGGACTCACCTTTGTCTACTCTCTTTAATGCTTCAGGTTTTTGTTCAATGGAAAGAACCACTTTTTTTCCTCTTTTCATATGCCATGTTCCTCAAACAATAAAAGTATATTACAGTAAGGGGAACATGCAATTGGAAAAATGAAACACAATCACAGCACAAACATAAATCAGTGGTGCAGAGGAACAAACGAAGCTACGGCCATTGCGGTATGTGATGCATGGACACGTAAATAGCACGCTGAATGGCTGTGTCGGTTAAACTGGCAGGTCGGATAAGCGAAGGTTGGATAATCAGGACTCTACTGTAATGGAATTGCTGCGTAGACGTTTGCATTGTTATTCCAAAATGCTGCTGCTGGGTAGACGCACCCTTAATGTGCAAGAGGAGCAGAAGTCAAGTTGGTGTGCTACAGAGCACTGTGCTGTGCAAGAGAACACATCTCCGTTCTACACCAGTTTCTGCAAAATGTGAACTTTTTTTTAAAATAAGAGTTACAGTTGTTCTGTAGTAGAGACCCAGTCCGGGCTTCTGCCTTTAGGGCACCATCACTAAACAAATGCTAAATTAATATAAAATTATCTCTCTACTATTATAAAAGGCGAGGGGTCCATCACGCAGTCACACAGAACATTTGAGAATACACTGGAAGACTTGAGAAGTCTGGGTCTGGGGTGGTTTTTCCAGAGGCCAAATGGATAAGGCATCAGCCTCCAGAATTTGGGATTGTGGGTTTGAGTCCTGCCCCAGGAGCAACTGGGCAGCTGCCTCCAGCTTACCCAGGGCTAGAGTTAGCACCAGCTGAGGGTAGGGAGGTGGGTTACCAGCTTCTCCAGGGCTGGAGCTGGAAGGGGTGAGCAGCTGGGTCGCTGAGCCACTTACTCTAGCTGCAGTGAGCAGAGCAACAATTGGCCCTGGGGTGGGAGTGCTGTGCAGGCAGGGAGAGCAGCCCTGGGCCCTACCCTGTGGGATAGGGTCTGGGGGTGCAATGCCAGCACATGGTGGGTTGGTGGAGTGGAGGCGTAGCACTCCCTGCTTTCAGTGCCTTCCCTGAGGGACAGCTCCCAGTCTCCTCAGCCAGGGCAGCTCCCCGCAGTGCCCTGCCCTCCCCCACGTGAGGGAAGCTCCCAGAACCACATCCCCCATCCTAGGGCTGCAGCTGGGGACAATGCTGGCTCAGCTTTGCCCAGCCACAAGGGACAAGAGAGCAGCCCAGCTCCCTGGGCTGATCCCACTGAGGCAGAGCTGGGACCCTAGAGCCTCCCAGATCTAGTGTCTGTCACAGGGTTTATTTATTGTAACAATCACTCCCATGTGGCAGCCAGATGCTGCTCTAGGGAATAAGTTAGCCAAGTGTGGAATGGAGGCTGCACCTTAGAATCATAGAATAATAGGACTGGAAGGGACCTCGAGGGGTCATCGAGTCCAGCCCCCCGCCCCCAAGGCAGGACCAAGCTCCGTCTACACCATCCCTGACAGATGTCTATCTAACCTGTTCTTAAATATCTCCAGAGAGGGAGATTCCACCACCTCCCTTGGCAATTTATTCCAATATTTGACCACCCTGACGGTTAGGAATTTTTTCCTAATGTCCAATCTAACCCTCCCCTGCTGCACTTTAAGCCCATTACTCCTTGTCCTGTCCTCAGAAACCAAGAGGAACAAATTTTCTCCTTCCTCCTTGTGACACCCTTTTAGATATTTGAAAACCGCTATCGTGTCCCCCCTTAATCTTCTTTTTTCCAAACTAAACAAGCCCAGTTCATGAAGCCTGGCTTCATAGGTCATGTTCTTTAAACCTTTAATCATTTTTGTCGCTCTCCTCTGTACCCTTTCCAATTTCTCCACATCTTTCTTGAAATGTGGCGCCCAGAACTGGACACAATACTCCAGCTGAGGCCTAACTAGTGCAGAGTAGAGCGGCAGAATGACTTCACGAGTTTTGCTTACAACACACCTGTTGATACAACCTAGAATCATATTTGCTTTTTTTGCAACAGCATCACACTGTTGACTCATATTCAACTTGTGGTCCACTATGACCCCTAGATCCCTTTCTGCCATGCTCCTTCCTAGACAGTCGCTTCCCATCTTGTATGTATGGAACTGATTGTTCCTTCCTAAGTGGAGCACTTTGCATTTCTCTTTATTAAACCTCATCCTGTTTACCTCTGACCATTTCTCTAACTTGCTAAGGTCATTTTGAATTATGTCCCTATCCTCCAAAGAAGTTGCAACCCCACCCAGTTTGGTATCATCTGCAAACTTAATAAGCATACTCTCTATCCCAATATCTACATCATTGATGAAGATATTGAACAGTACGGGTCCCAAAACAGACCCTTGCGGAACTCCACTTGTTATCCCTTTCCAGCAGGATTTAGCACCGTTAACAACTCTCTGACTACGGTTATCCAGCCAATTATGCACCCACCTTATCGTGGCCCTATCTAAGTTATATTTGCGAGGGAGGGAGTTGGGCAGGCTGGCTAGGACCTAGCCGACTGGCACCTGGATGACACACTCCAGTGGTTCCAGTGCTCTCAGCAGGTGAGAGTGCACTGTGTGCGCAGACAGTGTGAGGTGGTGGTGGAGCAGCGGGTCCTTCATGGACAAGATGGCTGCCAGGTCTGCTTTTGCCCCACTCCTGCACCAGGCCAACCTGAGTGGCGTCTACCATCGCAATGACATTTATTAGCATTTATTAATGCTGGTAACTGATAATAAACTGATAATAAATAATGCAACTCAGTGATGTATTTCTGAATCTTGACATAGTAGACTGTAAAAAAAACAATCATTCTACGAGGTGAACAATGTCCTACCATATATTAATTAGTTGATTCTGAAGCCTAGTGATGACAATTTTACTTCTGAGCATTTTGACAGAAACATTCAACTGCTCTGGGATGGTGGGTAAAGCTGGGGATAGAAGATGGAGCTTGAGCAGAGTAGTCCCAAAATGTTTCCTCTCCAACATAATTCCCAATGGAAAATGAACAGTCTTCCATTTGGAGGTATCTCTGCCAGGCAGTGCCCAGCCACACTGATAGGAGGGGGGTTTGGAAGTTTACTCCACTCATACTTGTACTAGAGTATTTCTGTTCCTAGATTACCAGCCACCAAATTATCATTAACATATATATATTTAAAAACATAAAAGGGATTACTGTAGATGGCTTCCATGATAATTACGTCTGTATACGTATTTACTATAGTACACACAGTGCAATGTCTTTTTCTTATGCTCATATCAAGTTTCATCCTTTCATTTTGTTGAACACCGATATTTTTAATTTTTTGCAATTGCTTTCTTACTTCACTTGTCCTCATTAACTTACTGAAGGGAAGAGAATCTAAGGGCACCACCATTCTATAGCTAAAAAGGTATACGGAAATCTTCGTAGAATTGTATTTTTTTTATTGTTGATCAAGTCTTGGTGGGGAGGGGGGAAGGGTGTCACTCTGTGGATTGACTGAGCTCTATGATTACTAGTGCCCTTTGGTTCCCTGGGAGCGGATTCTGATGCACATATTGAGATAACTTATTCATCTATGAGCCTAGCAGGAATTTTTCCCAATTGATACAGTAAGAGCATGAACACAATTGCCACCCAAAACAACGAGCTCATTAGAACACCTGAACAGACTTAGACACATTCATTAGGAATCGTTCTGTACAGCCATTGCTGTGGATGATCCAACACGCCTCAAGAATCATGTGATTAACAAAGCAATAAATAATGATCATTACAGCAGTTTCCTGAGACATACCTGTAGCCAGAAAAAGAGGTAGCAATAGCATAAAGCAGAGAAGCAAAACCACGTAGTTACTGGAAGCCATGATGAAACAGAAATGCCAGTGTCCCAATATCTTGCAGCCCTTGCTGAAATGTCAACATGGTGAAAGCTCTCTATTTCAAAGGCTTTGACCTGGAGGAGGAGTTGGGTAGTCATTAAACACAGAGAGCTAAACCCCATGCAAATAATTCTATTCGTGCAGAAACGTACCAACTAATCCCCTACATGGTCTTAAAAAACAGGCAAAAATCTTAGTTGAGAAGAATTCCCATTCATAGTGCCCAAAGGCTATACTGAACATTATGAATGTTGTAGTGTGTTCTTACTAACAGCACAGCATACTATTAAATGTGGACTATGAGTGCCAAATTACAGCCTGGATAGCATGCCATTACATTTTGTATGTCGCCACCCCCAATTCACAGATGAATCAGAACTCCAAGATTAGGTGATGGGGGGGAGGGAGGGTCAAGGTAAAGATCTGGAGTATCTTTGAAGGGGATCACATTATTGAGGTTTTCAAATGTATCATGTTGCTTTCCTTTGTGGTCCCCAGTGGGAACCCTGAACCACTGTCTGATTTTATATTGCGACACCAATTAACAAACAAGGAATACCAGGTTCCGCTTTGGACTCATTTTGCTGCAGTGAAGGAGCTGTGTACTTTATCACCATGGACTTCTACACAAAGGGCTTGCAGTGTATTGGAAAGAAAAGAATGGAGCAAAATTTCATTTAATTAATAATTGTAGTAGTTTGACCAAATTGACAGCTAAAGTTATATCTGGAATATAAGCATTGCTATGTATTCATGTCTATCAAGGGCTAATTGTATCAGAACACATAATTTACAACATTCTTAAGCAAAGATTTGACTAATATCAGCAAGGTTAGATGCAATGATTTATCAATGGGGATTGGAGCATTCCATAGGGCCTGGGGTATTTTCCAGTCAATTCTTCACTTCATTAGGTTAAAAGAAAGCAGCTGCTTTGTGCACATCAGAACAATGAAGGGAAGCACCATTTTTTTACTATTGCCAGGCTTCATCATCATCATCTCCTCCCTGCTGAAGTCATAAGTGACTATCAAAGAATCAGTCTCTGTCACCTGAGAAATCAAAGAGTCCTGCCCATCTAGATGTATTATTTACACGGTTCTTGTAACTCACACTTTATGTGCGGTGATGTACATCCTTTTTGGACATCTGGTTTACAATATGGAAAAACTGACCTTTTGGGGCATCTTTTATTTATTGGACTCTGGCTAATTCCCAGAAAACTCATTTCCTGGAATTTTCAGAGGCTAATGGTGGGAACTGTTACAGGAAAGAGGGAAGGAGTATGACTGCTGGAGAACACAAGACACTATAACAATGAATGAGTCTCAAAATATTCCGCGCCTCTGCTATTGGAAATCCCCATTTGTACCTTGGCTTATCCTCACCTAACCCTAAACCCACCCCCACCTTGCCCTCTCCTTTAGCTTGGAGCTAGCTGGGGGATGGGGGACTGTGATAGGCATTCAGAGGAAAAACCACCTGGAGAAGTGATGATCTGCAGAGAAATGAGGCTACTGGCAGAAGCAAGGCAAGTGAAGAGTAGGAAATGGGGTGGGAAGCTCTGCTACTCAGCAGGGAGGTTTCTGGGGGATCTTGGGGTGAATAGACAAGGTGGGAGGGGTCCTGTATTCAAGGAAAGAGACAAGGGGATGAGGGGAGGAGGACAAACTGGGAAGGAAATCTGTCTCCACTGACCATGGGGAAGGGGATAGGAGCAGAGACTGCAACTATGGCTATGTCAAGACGACACGCCTTTTTCGAAAGAGGCTTTTTCGAAAGATACTTTTGAAAAAGCCTCTTTCAAAAAAGAGCATCTAGACTACAACCAGTACTTTCAAAAAAGCAAGCCGCAGTCTGGATGCTCTCTTTCAAAAAAGCACAGTTTGCATTACATAGTGCCTTTTTTTGAAAGAACACTTTAAAAAAAAGGCATTATTCCTCGTAAAACGAGGTTTTTTGCAGTCCACAAAACTGCTGTGTTTTGATTTACTGTCGACAGAACGTGGCAGCAGTCTAGACACAGGTAAAGTTTTTTCAAAAAATTCCTAGACACACCCATACATTTTTTGTTTGCAGCTCTGAGTGAGGAACAGCAAGACAATACTGTAGCTTTTCAAAGAGTTCAGATAAGAATATATTTGTCAGAGCCACACTGCAATTTTTCTTATCTTATCTTCTTAGAACAGAAAAGCCACTGTCCTGTCTGAGGGAGTCTCTTCCTGTTATGCAAGTGAGAGCATAGGGCCACGTGTCTGACATTTCTTCATCTACCACCACATTCAGTGGCTTTTTTTTTAAACTTCTTTGACTCACCCTATACAAGGGATGGCACTTACACACACACAAAAAACCCCTTTGGATAAGAATTTATTACTATGTCTGGAGCGCTTGCTTGGTGCCACGTTTAGTCTTGTTCCTAAATCTCCGTAAGGGGCCAGCTGGAAGAAAAGACAGATGTTTGGATACATGGCAGATGCCTAACACTTTTACTTTTAAAAAAACCTAGCTTCAGCAACAAGCATTTCCATGTACTTGTGTTCTAAGACTATGGATTTCCATCTACTTTATTTGACTTCTAAATCAGATTTTGTTCCCAAACCCTCCTAATTACATCAATCATACAATGGTATTACACTGCTGTTGTACATTCTGTGTGATTCATATGACATTTTACATTTCCGCCCTCTCATTTTATTGGTATCTCAAACCTGTGAGGTTCTGATTTAACAGTTTGTTTGTGATTGCAATACAAATATTATGGAAGGGAAGCCCCAGGAGTGAGAATCTAGGAAATATATGAGTCATGTAGTGAAACACTTCATTCAAAGAAATACTGGTGTAATTAGACTGAGGGGTGATGACACTGGTAGGCATCACTAGAAGAGCAAGTATTAAAAAGAGCACCAATGAAGTTTCCCATGGGACTTTCCTCCTAATTAGCTTCAGAGTCACAGACTCCTTTCCTAAGTTGTTGCCTAGCCAGCCCTGGCAACAAAGCCAGCCCTGGCAACTTACCTTGAAGAGCTGCATTACTTACAGTATAAATTATCTTCCCTCTTTTTAGGACCTGGGCCAGCAGCATCCAAACCAACCCCTCTGCGTTTTCTGTTTCAGAGAATTCCTAATCCCAAGTGTTCACCCCTCTTTTTAGTGACTAAGTGCATCTAGACCTAAAAGCATGTCCACATTGAGTGGACCCTGAACCGAGGTTAAGGATGGCCGGAAGCAGTGCCAGCAGGGCATCAGATTAGGACTTAGAGCGTGGAGCTGCTGTCTCAGGCTAGCCGAGGGCTGTGCTTAAAGGTCCCGACCCCCACCCAGGACAGACAGTTCTCAGGGGTTCCCCGCTTGCAAAGCAGTCCTGGCTTGGAGTGCCCTGAGTGCCCACACACGGCACATCACAGCACTCAGCCATCAGCCTGGCTGCACTTGCCGCAGGCTGCCATCCGGGAGGGGTCAATCGGGGGGCTGCAGGAGAGTTTCCACCCCGAGGAGCCCACAGAGCCACCCCAGTCCTCCTCATCGGGGGCTCGTACCCCATTCCTCCCTCACCTCCTTCCACTTAACTATCCCTAGCCCCCCTTCCTGATGTACAAATTAAAGGACACGTGTGGTCAAAAGTAGAAACTCTCTTTATTGAACAAAACTGGGGGAGACTGGGAAAAGGAGGTGGGAGAGGGGAAGAGAGACGGAGGGAGAGGTGAGGGCAACCAAAATGATCAGGGGTTTGGAACAGGTCCCATATGAAGAGAAGCTAAAGAGACTGGTACTTCTCAGCTTAGAAAAGAGGAGACTGAGGGGGGATATGATAGAGGTCTGTAAAAGCATGAGTGGTGTGGAGAGGGTGCATCAAGAAAAGTTCTTCATTAGTTCCCATAATAGAAGGACTAGAGGACACCAAATGAAATGAATGGGTAGCAGGCTTCAAACTAATAACAGAAAGTTCTTCTTCACAAAGCAAATAGTCAACCTGTGGAACTCCTTGCTGCAGGAGGCTGTGAAGGCTAGAACTATAATAGAGTTTAAAGAGAAGTTAGATAAAGTCATGGAGGTTGGCTCCATGTAGTGGTATTAGCCAGGGGGTAGAAATGGTGTCCCTGGCCTCTGTTTGTGGAAGGCTGGAGATGGATGGCACGAGACAAATGGCTTGGTCATTGTCTTCGGTCCATCCCCTCTAGGGTCCCTAGTGTTGGCCCAGTACGGACATTCTAAGCTCAGGGCTCAGGGTCGGGGGTCTCACTGGACCACCCTGATTTTCATGCAAACCTGCTCCTGGGTGGCCAGGCTGGCAGCTATCCTGAGCTAGACGGCCACTTTCCTGTGCCTAGTGAAGAGGTCGTGGATGAGGTCCATGATCTCCGCACTAGACCAGGCGGGCGCTCGCCTCCTGCTGCCCCGCGCA